ATGATGACCAGTGTTAAATGAGTTGACAGAAGTGAGCAAGGTCCCCAAGTGAACTAGTATGTGTTTTTTGTATCTCTTAATCCGTTTTGTACATGGGGAGCCGATTATGAAAATACAAGTGGCAAAGACTGTGCTTCACCAAATTGCCAGTGGAGCAGATTTGTTTACATTTACCCATGACTAGGAAAAAGTTTCATACAGTTGAAGTGTTAATGTAACAATAGTGTATCTTGCGCTGAAGAAGCAGCTTGGATAAGCAAAATATTAAAAGAACAAATCTGTTTGAATTGTAAATACTAGCTAATTTACTTATGCATTGTTTAACCATTAATGGTGTAATGAAGTGTACAGCGCTAAATGCCCTACAGGAAATTAGATAACGGTAGGGATCATATGGTGTCACCTCCGTGTCAAGCAATCGTGAAACAGTGTATATATAATAAATATTTGTGTAAAAACTTATAGTACGTTATAAAATGTGTCAACAGGTGTAACAAAAAGCGTGTCATACATGAACCTTATTAAATAAATAAACAAAAATCTTCAAAGAACATGTGTCATATATGTGAAAAATAAAAATATCACAATATAAAACAGTCTGTGTTGTTTTCTTTCGAAAATAAGTAGAAGTATGCACTTATAATATAAAAAATAAAAAGATGCACCCAAAGTTCTTAAAGCTCTCCGATCTTCAAAACAAAAAAGCCCAGAAGAATGAAAATCAAAATCAAAAGAAATGTCCAATGTTGTGAAGTGTCCAACGAAAAAACGATAGAAGAAAAAAGCAGGCAGGTCCCCTATAGGGAATGCACTCACCAGATCCCTGATGGTCGAAAGCCTTTATTCTTATCCAATGGAGGCCGAAGATGTATGTCCTCTTCTCCCCTAGTCTCAGGCTACAGAACCCGCTTGCTTCTCCGAGGTGAAGGGATTACAATCTTTGTTGTTAGGTCTCCTCTATTGGGTATCCATCCGGACAAAAAACACAAGAAATGCGCTCATAGCGTAGTAAGTTCAACTTTAATGGGTCCAAAATAATAAATACAGACAAACAAGCGCTCTATAAAAATTCCATAAAGATCAATGTGGAAAAAGGACTGGAACAATGACGTAAAGGTAGGCCCGCCCCCGACACGTTTCGTCACATGGACGTTCTCAAGGGATGACAGGTCTACCTGAATCAGAGCCCAGTCAGTTTAAATAGGCTAAAAATCCCCTCCCCAATTTAAATAGGCTAAAAATCCCCCTCCCCAATTATAAAAGGTGCTACAAAGTATAAAAGCCGTTAGTAAACCAAGGCATTCTCAGGTGTGGATCTGATCACAATGACAGGTTGAATATTATCCGATAATAAAAACAGCAGATAACTATTTTCATCTCCATGTATAGGTTACCCTTTAGACATTGGTATACATATAAAACAGATATTATACATATATAAAAAACATATATAGGAATTCTCTTACCACATATCTATTTAGATATATTTTAGATTTATCTATAGCCCCAAAGTGAGATCTTTTAAAATTAGATTAAGTATATGGGATATGTTCCGCAAAGGTTATAAATTTAATTAATAATATACCCGAATGAAAAATAGCCATTTCTATAGGAATAAACTAATAGAACTAATAAGTCCTACAACTTGGATGTTATGTTATTCGTATTAATATGTACCCCGGAGGGAATTAATATATCAGAGGAAAATAAATTAAGTGTGATCCTTCTAAAAGGGTCATTATTATTTAATATAAATTCAAAGGGTTTTTTTTTTTTTTTTTTTTAAAGTGATAGGCAGAATGGATTATTTGATCCCTGTGTGATAAATAAATATTAGTTATATTCATTCATTCTTACAACTAAATGAGTTTGATTATATCTATTTGTGAAATAGGTGTTACCAATAAATAATTTGTAAATAATTTATTTTATCTTAATTGTAATTAATTAATTTATTTAATTGATTTATAAATAATTTATAGTGTATTAATTAGTGCATTGGGAAAGGTAGTGAGAGTAACCCAAGTGTTAAAAAGGTTAAGGTCGTTAAAATCGTGTTATATGAGTGTGATATGTAAAAAATGTTAAAATAGATGTTCCTCAAATATAAATCTTCACGATTATGCCTACTTCTGCCGGGGTATGGGGGGGATAGGACAGTAATCTTACTCCTCATCATTAATTAGTTCATTAATTATTTCTTAAAAAGCAATTAAGGTCGAATTCTATGTTAAGGCCTTTGGGGGTAAGTGTGTCCAGTAGGAAGATCCATTTTGACTCATTTTGGGAAATCTCCCTAATGAGATTGGACCCTCTCCAGTGGCTTTCGACCTTGTCTATCCCTATTACTTTTAGTCCACTGGGATCTTTATTATGAACTAGTTTAAAATGGTTAGACAAGCTGTGTTTATGATAACCCCTTTTTATATTGTTCACATGCTCTTCCAATCTTTTCTTTAGTTCCCGTTTTGTCCTTCCAACGTATTGGAGGCCACATGGGCACTCCAACAGGTATGCAATATATCTGCTGGAGCAGGAAATAAATGTATCTATTTTGTATTCTTTGCTAGTAGTATTAGATCTAAAAACATCAATTTTCTTTTTCCTTATGCCAGTAGTTCTGCAACAGATACATCTCCCACAGGGAAAGAAACCCTTTCCTTCAAAAAAGGAAACATTTCGTTTGGGCGGGTTAAAAGCATTTCTTACCAATCTATTTCTAAGTGTAGGTGCTTTCCTATAAATAATTTTTGGCTTGTCTGGGAGTAGAGGGCCTAATGTTTGGTCTTTCTTTAAAATATACCAGTATTTCTTAAAAATAGATTCAATTTTTCTGTGTTGGACAGAGTAATTAGTAATAAAGGATAGGGGAAAGCCCCCCTCCTTTTTTGCCGCAGGTTTCAGCAATCCCCCTCTGTCCACTTTAACGAGTTCTGTTTTTATTTTCTCCAATTCTCTGTCTCTATATCCTTTTTCCTGAAATCTATTGGTCAGTAGATTAGATTGTGCAATGTAGTCTTCATCGTTAGTGCAATTACGTCTAATCCTGACATACTGTCCTTTTGGAATATTTCCTAACCATTTAGGGTGGTGACAGCTGGATGTTGGAATATAACCGTTTTTATCTGTTGGTTTAAAGAATGTTTTTGTAACAAATCTATTTCCTTTTATGCTTATATCTAGATCTAGGAATTGGATATTGGTATCACTAATGGTCCTCGTGAATGAAAGATTAAAAGTGTTAGAATTCATGTTATCAATAAAATTAGTAAGGGATTTCTGATCCCCATCCCAAATTAAAATAATGTCATCAAAATTCACATATATGACACATGTTTATTTATTTAATATTTTTTTCACAATAATATTTTTTTCACATATACGGCACGTTCTTTGAAGATGTTTATTTATTTAAAGGAGAACTATGGGGTCAGTGTTTTTCCCCGTAGTTCTCCTTGGGGTAACGGGAGGACACAAACTAGCGTCCTCCCGTTACCCTAAGCTCAGTATACCGCGAGCTACAGCTCGTGGTATACTGAGACGCCACACCTGGAACGGATTGCGACTTAGATGACGGGATCCGCCCAGCTGCATGAGTGACAGCTGGCTCTGCCTATCTAGAGGCAGAGCCAGCTGTACCCGCCCCCTCCCCCGTCCGTTCCGCCAGTCAGCGCTGGCAGATCGGAGCGGGGAGAGGGGAATCCAGCCCCTCCCCCTGTCACGGCAGAGCCGTGACAGAATCGAGAGGTGAGGGAACCCGGTATGTGTTCTCTCACCTCCCGATCTACTGAGCCGACCTGTGACAGTCTCATTGTCACAGGTCGGCTTAGAACTATGAGGTGAGTGGAAAATCACTCATGTCATAGTTCTCCTCTAATAAGGTTCATGTATGACACGCTTTTTATGACACCTGTTATAACGAACTATAAGTTTTTACACAAATATTTATTATATATACAGTTTCACGATTGCTTGACACGGAGGTGACACCATATGATCCCTACCGTTATCTAATTTCCTGAAGGGCATTTAGCGCTGTACACTTCATTACACCATTATTCTGTAGGCTTTTAGCCTGAGTTCAGCAGCTTTTTCCTTTTTGGTTTTAGAAATTTTAGCTCCGGGGTCATATATCAATTTTAATCCATCTTAAATTTAGTTTTACTATTTCCATTAGCGCAAGTTAGTTTGGTTCACATCATTGTTTAACCATTAAATCCATTTTTATATACAACTAGTAGAAGTACCAGAATCTTGATATTATCCTCCTTTAACCACTTACACAAACACTTAAGACTGGAAGAGTGATGGTCAATACATTTAGCTGGTCAGGGTTTTAGTGCTTTGCACTATGCTGCAAGTCCATTACTAAACGAGTGGTGAGCAGAGGAACAACCTCATTGGTCTGCTGCTGGTCTTCAATCGTTAAGTCACAAACTGGGGTGGGACCTGGACTAGGTTGTATTGCTTAAAGAGCCTGTCACCTTGTCCATTCAGGAATAAGTCTCCTTAAAGCCCACCCCATGAGCCACTTTATTCATATTTCCCTCAGTGCTCTACCCATCTGTTGCTTTGCAGTCCCTATCTCTGTGTCAGCTAGTAAGCATGGCAAAGAAGAGTACAAGCAGGTTGGTGGCTAGGCTCACTTTTAACTGAATGAGTAAGTGACATTGTCCTTAAAGACACACTGATAGTGCCAACCCCATCTTTTCACATCACCAGGAAATGCAAAGTTTACAGAAACCGTTAAAGAAATTCAAACTAGAAATAATTTATCAGCATATTTTATTTAAGAAACACATTTTAAACAAGACAAATCATAAGACTAGGTTTCTTTTCCAAACAGTTGTGAAGTGATAATTGACAAAAAAAACATGAAAGCCCATTACATTTCTTCATCCAAAACAAGAAGTGAAGGATCATTGTAATTGTCTTATTTCCGGTCTGTTGATCTATATATGCTTTTCTTAAAGTCCATTTCACAAATTCACATTTAAAAAAAATTTACAACAATATGATAGAGCATCCAAGAGTCCACAGACTGGATAAATGATGAAGCTGAGATTTCAGTAAATGGCACGAGGATTCTTGGTGCTGTAGTTGGCCTCACAGGCAGCCACATAGGAAGACTCTGGAAAGAAGTCTTCGTGATACTCCGCAAGAAATCTGTAAACCAAACGCCAAAGCATTAGGCACTCACATTCCATTACCTATAACCAGGAATGACACCGTGCCCCAGTAGGGGTGGACATGTGATTTTAGTTAACCTGAAAAAGTAGGTTTATAATAAACTAAACAAAATATTTTAATTAAACAATATTCTAAAAATATTACTCTGCAGAACAGAGTATTAAATAAAAGAAAATCCAGACTGCAAGCTAAAAGACAAGTTCCACACAAAATGGTCATCTGTGCATGGCAGCTGGCGCATTGAATTGCATACTATTTCTAGTGGCGAGATATTACCACCAGAACTTACAATTCACTCCGCTAATAGTAAAACAGATTGCTAAATTTTTGTTGAATTTTTCTAAATGCAGAACCTTTAAATGATTCTGCACCTGCTTTGCACCTATTGTTAATCTGCATTCTTATATTTGAAACAGCTCAGCAGATACCGTACCCATGTACCTCAATAGTGCATGGATGACAATTCTGAGTCTGTGTTCGACTAGCTTTGTGTTCAGTTTCTCTGTATGCAGCATGTCCCATAGGAGGTGCATTTAACACTTTGCAGGTATCGCAAGTCAGCCTTTTCTGTTGAAACGCATGCATTAGAGCTTATGGTGTTTGAATGTGAAAGCCAGCACCGGACAGCAATGCCCTATGTACTTAAGCCCCCAAACACCTTTATTTTGAAAAGGGATAGGAGCAGACTACCACTGAAATCACACCACCAGTGGACTGGTGAAGGACAATTCAAACAGCCAATGCATATCCAAAGGTGAAATATTTCTGGTGGAGCCTGAAGTAAAAGTATATGTCCAGCCAAAACCTTTTTTCTCAGTTTTGAATAGAGTGGGGAAAGGCTATAGGTTTTTAGTGCAATCAGTGCTGTTTTAGAGGTTACCTCTCCGTGTCCTGTGTTTTACCAGACAGAATTGAGGGGAACCCTCCAACAGCAAAACAGACAGAAAAAAGAAATGTTTTTCTTTAGGGAAAGGCTTGAATCACTGTCAGATTTTTATTTCCATCAGTGCCCCTCAGATTTTATCTCACTTCCTATTTAAGGAACACGCACAGACAAAATAAAACTTTTGTACTCTCAGTCCAATCCTCTACTTGGAATCCACTGAGGTATACATCAGATCTTAACTTTGGGTTTTAATGCCACCTACAGGAGGAATGGACAATGGAAACAAAGAAAAAAAACTGTAGGGCAGCCCATCCTACTACTGGCATGCGCCTTAGTACAAAGCAGTGCAAAGCAGTACAGAGAGCATACTCAGAGGGGTGGGACCTGTGTACCTCAATACACTGCAACAGTATTTTACAGCATGTACAAACATCCTATTTTTTTTCTCCCTAGTTGAAAGACAGAGCCTTTGACCTTCGGCATATCCAAAAGGAGTCAGAGGACTGGGGACTGCATACTGCTTAATTCATTTATTGCTCATCTGGTAGAACTTAGAGAATGTATGAAGAGAACACTGGGTGGTAGCCTTGCAAATCTGGGAAGCAGCACAATGTTGAAAAGCCCAAGAAGTACTCCCAGACCTAGTAGAGCACTGACAGGAAAGGGTGGAAGCTGATCCTTAACACATACGATTCCAATGTACCCTTACAGGAACAAATTTTGGAACAAAGAGGAAATCTGTCTTCCTGAAAGAAGCAGTGGCTGATAGACTCTCACAGATCAAATTGTATCTAGACAATGTAGTGCAGTTTCCTTCTGGCGAACTGGAGCCAGGCAGATGGACAGAAGAATCATGTCCTGGTTGAGGTGAAAGCCAGAAACCATCTTGGGCAACAATTACTGGACCTCAACACCACCTTGCCCCTATGCAAAACCAAAAAAGGTTCTTTGCAGGATAAGGCACAAAGTTCAGACTCCTGCCTCACAGGGGTGAGCGACGCGCTTTCCACATCCGATGACAGACCTTACGAAAAGGTAGCCTAACTTTTAGCATTATAGGAATCACAGATTCAGAGATGCCTGTCTCTCGAAATCTGGGAATCAACGGGAATGTTAAGCCAATGACCATGAAGTCAGGTCCTCGAGACCAACAGCAAACCCCTTCCACAAAAAGGTAACCAAGAGGAAACAGGTCATTTTAAAAAGGTGCCTGGTGACCTATGTATTAAGGTAGCTCTCGGCGCTCCGCCAGACCAACCTACATACAAAGTGAGCCTTCAGAAACCGGGAACATGCTGAGGCATTGCCAGCAGTGAGGGACTTGAAAAAAGTGCTCAGCAGCTGACCGAACAGGGGTCTGGAGAGCGCCCAAAGGTCATTGTCAAGCTAACTGTACAATACACATCAGGTGAGCGTCTGGACACAGCACTCCAAAACTCAGGCTGTGCTGGAAAGCTTCAATTGAAGATACAAGCTGGGGATAGAATAGGTAAGGAAGAGTTTTTTGTTTTTTTCAGTCAAAAAAAAGGTGCTAGTAAAAAAAATCTTTCAAAAGAAAAAAAAAATACATACACCCTCTCAGGACACTAGGAAAAAAAACTGAGCAATGCTGGTAGTGGAAGAGGTTATCCTGGGTTGGCCTAGTTTTGTTTACCAGTGTCCAATCCTCCTTTATGCAGCAGTATAACCTGAGGGTTAAGAGGTCCGGTGTCTTTAAATGGACTTTTGTAAACCTATGTCGCTATTCAAGTTGTCCAACACCTCTTTAGTAATGAAAAATTGAAAGTTGTTTCAATGTTAATCACTAAATATTTCATGATTGTTGTTTTTTGTAATGTGGTATTTGGGTGTGTGACTTTGTATTCAGAACACCATCATGAAGATTTAATACCTATAACCAGGTTGTATAATTCAGCATGTTAAAGCATGATCTAGGAGGTGCTCAAGTGGTTTTGCTTCCTTCGGGATTATATTTGTATATCAAGATATATTTTAGCTTGCAAATTAATATTTTTAGCATGTTTCTATTTGGTAAAACTTATGAATGCACAGAACACCCTGCTTTGTGAATGGACAAGGGAAGAGAAAGGGTGGATAAACAGTATCCCTCCTTTCCCATTCACAGAACACCTTACATTCTGTGAGCAGAATACAAGGCCTTTTGTGAACAAGGAGAGAGGAAGGGGGTGGGCAGAATTCTTTACTGTATGAGGTTCAGAACTCTCAGTCGCAGCACTAGAAGAAGAGCACTGTGTGGTAACTGGGGACAAATTAAACTAAGGTTTGTTTCTGTACACAGCAGCAATCCAGCTCTAGGATAGCATCATTAGAGGCAGCTTATTTGACTTGTGGCTATAGCTTGGAAAAAAAAAAAGCCTAGATATCCGCTTTAACATGCAATCATACACTGCTTATCTTACTGCATAGAATTAAACAGCACTCAAGTACAAGAATCTGAAAAAGTATTCACATACCTTAGAAACAGTTCAAAGTGCTTGAGCAAAACTTTTAAGTTTTTCTCCACAAAGAACATTTTCCCCATTATGTCTGGAAGTTTCACTAGGAAAAATAACAAGTTAAGGATTGATGAATTTAAAATCTATAGACATTTCCGTTTATTACAAACAGACAAGATTCCATCTAAACCAGGCATGTCAAACGCAGATAAAACAGTTGTGTCTATTGTGGGCTGCACCTACTTAATTCCAAAAAAGGTTAGGGAACATATGAGAATCTGACCTGAACGACTAAAACCTTTATTCTATTTATTTTAAAAGTCTGTCCTGGGTCTGACACCACCCTGTCCCAATGCAAGAAATGTGTCTGCAAGATCAGGCTGCCTATTCAGATGCTTGCCAATCTGTAGCAATAAGGACCACCAAAATGCCCTCCCATCTCAATCCTGTGGGGCAGACAAGGAAGAAGTTTCAGGGGAGGAAAGGGACGCACTAAAGCAGGGGTGTCCAAACTCTGGCCCCCAGCTGTGGTGGAACTACAAATCCCATGAGGCATTGCAAGATTCCCACAGACATGACTCCCGGAGAGAGATGCATCATGGGATTTGTAGTCTCACTACAGCTGGAGGGCCAGAGTTTGGACACCCCTGCACTAAAGCATACACCACTGCCCCAGGGAATGCCTGCATCTGGCTACAAACTGGTCTAGTTGAACCTATAAGTCAGGAGATCCACACCCTCCCTGATAGTAGTTGTACTCACTGTCGTGGCCTCGTCCAATTGAAGCTGGATTGGATGACCATCCAACAGGTTGGACCAGTGCTGCAGGAACAGTCAAATCACTTGAACCTCCAGGCTGTTGAGGAACGAGATTCCTCCGATGACCAAGCCCGTGGCCAGGACTCCTCCCCAGTCAACTAGGCTGGAATCTTGTGAGAATCTTCCAAAAGATGGGAAGAAAGTACTTTCTGGACGCCTCCGGTTCACCAACAGCAATTATCACTCCATTGTCTGCATGTGTTTCAGTCTGTGCATGTTCATCTGAGCACTGCTTGTTTCAACAAGACTGATTACTTTTTTTGTCATTTTGGATGGCCCCCAGAAGGACGCCCCAGCTTCTCATTCGACCATTTATAGGTGACTCAGACCATCATTTACACTTCTGGTCTCAAGGACTGGGTTCCCCCATTTCCTGTTAAGGCTCACCCAACTAAACTCGTCACTAGGGCTTTTCGGCACCAAGTTCTACCAGGTGGCCATTTTGACCTCATGGGATGCCAGCTTTGGGCATAAAGTCCCTGACACAGTCCTCCAATTATTTGCTGTATTGCCCTACCCTTCAGTTAGACTGCTTTTGGACAGCCTGTAAGTTTGTGACTTAGTCTGTCCGACAAAGGATGAGAAAGAAAATAGGATTTTTATACTCAAAAACTTTTGCAATCCATTGGTACTGCTTTGCTACAAAAACCAGATGTGCTGATAGAAAGGGTTATTCTGGGCTGACATGCTGGAAGTAGAAGGGGGTTATCCTGGGCTGGCCTACATATTTTAGATTGACAGTGTCCAATCCTCCAGCAGTATGCCCTGAAGGTTCAAGACTTCCATGTCCCTCAGCAGACTCCAAGAAAATTATTTATTTTTTTAAATCCTACCATCGCTTACATAATAGAAGGGCTGAACATAAATAACATTGGTCTTAATAAAGCTAGCATCATATATACATGTATCACAAACCAAAACACACTGCTCAAAGTGAAAAAAAAAAAAACCTTTAGGAAAAAAACAAAAACAAATCACACACACACACACACACACACACACACACACACACACACTTAAAAAAAACTTGCCTGGTCAACACCAGGGTGGGTGCCATTTAGAAAAGGGAGAGTTGTTCTGCATTGAAATAATTAAGCAATTTGCATACAACAAGCAGCTTTTTCAGAGCAAAGCAGGATGTACGGCCTAAGTGGCCTGACTGGTGTCATAGCTGATCCCATGTGCACAACCATGACAAAGGCAGATCTAAATAGAGGCTGTAAATATAGAATGGTTTAGTTCTGCTTTAAGATGGTACCTGGTATATGGAGGTAGAGCAGGGTGTGCTGTTGGGGAAACATTTCAAAACTAAGGAGGATAGTTTCTATGGTAGTAACGTTTAAAAAGGAGAACTATGGGGTTAAGGCTTTTCCCCATAGTTCTCCTTAGGGTAACGGGAGGACACAAACTAGCGTCCTCCCGTCACCCTAGGCTCAGTATACCGCGAGCTACAGCTCAGTAGATCGTTAAGTGAGCGAACACATATCGGCGCTCGCTCACTTCTCGATCTATCCCTGCAGAGAGCCGTGACTGTCAGATACGGCTCCCTGCAGGGATTCCTCCCCCCCCTCCGCTGTACGATCTTCCAGCGCTGACTGGCAAAATGGACGGGGGAGGGCGCAGGCACAGCTGGCTATGCCTCTAGTAAGCAGAGCTAGCTGTCAATCCCGCAGCTGGGTGGATCCAGACAGAATTGTCGGGATCTGTCCCAGCTGCAGCGTCTCAGTATACCGTGAGCAGTAGCTCGCAGTATACTGAGCTTTGAGTCAGGGGAGAACGCTAGTTTGCTTTCTCCCGTGACCCTTAGGAGAACTATGGGGAAAAGACCTGACCCCATAGTTCTCCTTTAACATTACACCACTCAGAACAGGTCAAACTAAAAATGTACAATTTACAATATCCAGTTCCACTTTACATTTACAGTTCCACTGTAAAGAAAGGATGGCCATTATTACAGGCTTATTGCAACAAAATGACTAAAAATTACTAAAAATGACAAACCTTATATAAAATTACATGCACAAACACTAATTTTGACACAATCAAGGCCGATCCACTCCAGAAATGAAGCCAGCCACTGCAGTTATGAAAACTGTTAATGATACAAATTGGATTTCAGACATTTTATGAGATCTTTCTTACCAAACAAGCGGAGCAAATGTTGTGACCCATATATGTAAGAAGGAGGTGGGGGCTGATCACTTTGAGGGTAATTTTCTGGCATTAGTTTCCAAGACAACACCTACGGAAAGAAAAGAGCTCATTATGTTATTATAGTGGTGTCTAGAAATTATATCTATTAAAACGCATGTTAATACCAGGTTTTACATAAAAGCACAAACAGCACTTCTGAATACGATTTGTTCTGTATACCTTTAAAAAAAGGAATGCATTTTGGTTAATTAGACCATGCTTGAGAAAAAAAAACAAAAAAAAAAAAAACACTTTCATTTATTTATATTATAAATCCTAATGCTTTTATTGCGTGTAAAGTAAGGTATGAAAAGTCAGGAAATCACCAGCACTCAGTAGTAAAGATAAATATGTCCCTTTTATTGGACAGAAAGCATCACAGACATCCAAATAACCAATAAATTGGTTTATTTGGATGTCTGTGACGCTGGCGATTCCCTGACTTTCCTGCGTTTGCACGGCGCCATCCGTGGTAATTCATCACTGCGAGCACCACTTTTTTTCTTATCTGGCCGGGACTGCTGTGGGGAGTGCGGAGGGTCTCTCCATTGACTTAAAGTAAGGTATGTTCATCCTAGGTTGAGTGACTGTAGCTGGTGCTGCATGTGGGATTTAATTACAATACATGGCGGGTTTATGGGTGCACTGATTGAATGGTTCGGCAATGAATAGGACCCGTTTCACTGCTTTATGTACACAGTGCTTCCAGTTTGCGCTGCAGATCACAAAAGGTTAAAAAAGTAATGTGGACGGAACTCTGCAGAAGCATTAAGAAATCGCTGAGTATCTTCAGAACCCCTTTGTGCAGTAAACTATAAATAACATTTAACACAGATTTCCTAGGGAATATGATCGGTTCAGTTGCCAACCAATCATTTGCCTTTATGCTATAAATCCCCATGTAAAATAGATCAATCCAATACTCTAAGGGGCATTTTTAAAGCCAAATGATATCTGAACACAGAAGATACCAAACGGCATGAAAAAGAAAATAGCCTGCTTTGAAATGACAATCAATCCTTAAAATTACTTGCACAAACATGTCTGTAAAAAAACTGCAGTAGTCAAAAGAAAAATAGGATTTTGGTACTCACCGTAAAATCCTTTTCTCTCCGTTCATTGAAGGACACAGGGAACAGATCGGAGATCATGTACTGTAGGATGCGGCCACACTTCTGGTGCCGCCCTGATGGTTGGACTACGCCACGGCCGTGGCGTTGTCCGACTGAACCCCGACCGGCCGTCCTTGAAGACGGGCCGTCCAATGAAGAAGAGAGGCGGATCGCCCGAAGTTCCAGCACGTTGATCGAAAGCCGAGACTCCTCCGACGACCAACGGCCCTGAGCCGTCCAAACGTCCAGGACTCCCCCCCAGCCCAACAGGCTGGCATCCGTGGTGACCACCGTCCAGTGAATGGGAAGGAAGGACTTGCCCAACACCAGGGACGGAGACCGAAGCCACCAGACCAGGGAGGCCCTCGCCTCCCGAGACAACCGAACCGCCCGGTCCAGCGACAAGGGGGACTTGTCCCACAGCGACAATATGGTCCTCTGCAGAACCCGCGTGTGATGTAAGCGTGCGAGCGTAAGGCACCGCTTCGAAGGAAGCCACCATGAGGCCCAGGACCTGCATGCAAGACCGGATCGTTGACCATCGACGTGTCTGCAGTAGCGCCACATGCGAGCGAAGCTTCAGAAGCTTCTCGGGGGGTAGAAAAACCAAGAGGTTAAAGGACAAGAGCACTTTTGAGGCAACACCATATGACCCCTCACTCACCCTAATTCAAACAAATATACATTTGAAGCAGGCTGGATTATGCTAGAATGGCATTTTGATCCTCTGGCACCGAGCAGGGAGATGGGTGATCATTACTCCGCATATCAGCATCCATGCATGTGCAGAGGACATCAGTGTCTGGAGGAGGAAAATGCTGCCTAGCCAAAACAGTATGAACTGCAGGTATATTTAAATTTGCTCAGGAGGGGGTTTACACGAGTCTTGGCAATTGAAATGTGTCATTTTCCTTTGAGGAATATACATTTTACACAACATTCCAAACATATTACAAAAGGGGTACAAACAGTAAATCCTATTTAGGCAGATAACCCCAACTCTGTTATGGCATATATAATAAAGCATCCTTGTCTATGCTGGCTAATCATAGGAGAACTACTGCAAGAATAGTAAACAGTAGGGGGTGGCAGAGATTTCCATTCTAACAGAACTCCAACACCAAGCCAAACGACTTTTTAAAAGACTCAGTAATGCAAATAGGATATAAAATTAACCCTTTTTCTGTCATAACTCACCGTATAAATGTAAACAATTTCTAAGCTGCTATGGCAGCGAGAGGTTTGTACACATGCCAGCACTGCTGCTAACATAATGGTTATAACAATAAAAGGGTTAATACCCAATACAAGAGCTACTGAAAATGACAAAACATTCAAGCTCTGCTGTATTTTAGATTTAGTTAGAAGCTTAAAAAAAGTTTTTTGTTGACCTCCATGTATGGTAGATTTTTACGATCCTCAATCTCTAAATAGCATAAATCACAGTATTTTGTGCAGATCAACCTGTAGTAACATGAGCTAGGATTCCAATTCACTGGCCCTTAAGCCTCCCATAGGTTTAAGAAGGTGATTGGCTGTATATCTGACCACCTTAAGTGGGGCTCAAATCTGAAAATTCTTGAGCTTTCACTGTAAACTAAAAACAGAGGATGGAGCAGGAACGAATGAAAAGCTTATCGAGGAAATCATGGTAACAATAGAAATTGTGGCAGTTTTTTTCTTAACTATTTGATCAATACCCCCCCTACAGCAGGTGACCAATATGGGGAGCCAAAAGGAGATGGTCACATGATCTACTCATATCTATGGGTACCCTTCAATGTTATTTATATTGGTTCATTTTGCTATGCAGTGCAGTTAAAGAAATAAATACATGATCTGATCTGTGGATAACAGTCTGCTCCTCTTCCCTCAGGTTCCATATGTAACAGTGCTAAAGAAAGTAAGGAAAGGACAGACATTAACTGAATCACACACTGCACATTATCGGCCATGTCTACAGTACTGCAAGATGACTCCAAGATGACTGCAAGTTCATCTACACAGAATGCTATTAACAGGTCATTTTAACACAAAGGGAATAGCATACAATGAAAGAAAGAAAGAAAGAAAACACATGTCAGATTTTTTTTTTTTGCTCACTGTGTACCACTGGAAAAATTTCTACCAATGGGGAACACCGGCAGCTATAAACTTGACAGAGGGTTTAATCCTTCTCCACTAGCACAAAAGGGAGGTTATGCTTAGAGATACCAACTTTAAATAAAAAAAAATTGATTATATTGGTTGCACTATTGTTCACAGCAAGCGTGGAGCAGGTGCAGACCGGAGCAAAACTGCGTCCAATGTATTCCAAATGGTATTTTTAGCTCCAGTTCACATCACAGTGTACAGTTGCAGAGCAGATCCAGAGCAGGTGAAAAAACTGCAGCAGGCCCTATTTTACCTGCTCTGGAACGCACTGAAAGCCCATGTTAACCAGTTGACATCAGGGGTGTTAAACCCCCTTCCCATCCAGGCCATTTTTCAGTATTCAGCGCTGCAGTACTTTGACATTTATTCCGTCATGCAACGCTGTACTGAAATTAATTTTATACCCTTTTTAGGGACAGATAGAGCTTTCTATAAAAAGGAGAACTATGCGGCGAGTGATTTCCACTCATCCTCATAGTTAAAGCCGACCTGTGACAAAGAAGCTGTCACAGGTCTGCTCTAATGATCGGGAAGTGAGCAGTAACATGCACCAATCCACTCCCTTCCCGATCGTCTCCCGGCAGGGAGCGGTGACCATCAGTCACTGCTCCCCGCAGTGATTCCCCCACTTCCCTCTCCGGATCCTCCTGCGCTGACTGGCGGAACGTACAGGGGAGGGGGCAGGCACAGCTGGCTCTGCCTCTAGATATGCAGAGCCAGCTGTCACTCACGCACCTGGGTGAATCTCGACAGTATTGTCAGGATCCGTCCCGGCTGCGGCGCTCTTAGTATATCGCGGGCAATAGCATGAAATATACTGAGCTTTGGGTCACAGGAGGAGGTTAGTATACGTCCTCCCGTGACCCTAAAAAAAACTATGGGGAAAAGCACTTATCCCATATTTCCCTTTTAAAGTCGTTCGCATTCGAAATATATGTATTGAGATATACAAGTTTATTTACAGAATGTACACTAATTTGAGGATATGTGAGAATTGAATTAGTAGAGCACAGTGCCGGTGTAATAATTTGGTTTCACGGTGGTTTTCACTCTGTTAGCATTGCAGCTTAGTTAGGAACACAAGGGAAAATTTGAGTGTGGTTAAATGGATGAATTAAATCAAAAGGTGTTTAAGGTTTGCAGTCCTAGTCACTGAGCCAATGAGTGCTCGTGCAGATTTTTCCCCTTAGGCTCTAATGGAAAATCGGTGTCCTTTTTGGTTTGACAGTATCTCCATTAAGGCATATAGAGAAAATCTGCATCCCACTGGCAGAGTGAAGAGGAATAAAGCACCACTGCAACTGATTTAGGCCACGACTGGTGGAAGTCCCTGAATGATCGAAGGTCAGTAGTTTGGGATATAAAATGTAATGCAGAGGGCAAGTAGGGTATGGCAGAGAGGGGGCTTGTGCTTAATGAAAAGTTTTCACGCTCATTTTTATCACTAAAAGCTGAAGATAGGTAAAAACTACACATTTCCCTCAACAATCCTGACTAACAGGATAACAGGAAGCTATTTTAAAGGAGAACCCAACTTTCAGTGGAGAACCTTTACCTGTCACTGTCCATGCTTACTATACAAGAAAAACCCAAGACACTAAAAGGCAATCTGTAAAGAAGTGTGTTCCCATTACTGCATTCTGCGGTGCATAGAACAAAAACTGCTCCAAAAAGGAGCACAGGACTGCATTAGGCTAAATGGGCAGACCATCTTCCATGCAGCTCAGGACTTCTGCAGTGGCTCCAGGAAGCAGCTTCTTTCTCATCACATTTTGTACACAGAAGCCAAGACCTGCAGGTTAGACTAGATAGTATGTATCTTCATAAATAAGGAAAGACTCCCATTACATTTTTACATCAGGCTTCAGAGACAGTGAAAGCTAAAGGATTTGCACTGAAAGTAAAAAAATAAATAATTGTTGAAATACAACTAAATAAATAAAAGTCCAGATGAAAACCACATTCCTGACAATAGCAGATTCCATTAGGAGAACACAACAACGGTTGTAAAGCGATTTTGGTTATTGATCAGTGAAAGAACAAATGTACACTTTCTACAATACCTCATTGAGCTCATTGTTTCGCCTCCCTTCAAGTCCAGAAAACACGGAACTACCCTCTTTGCTTGGAGTTAATGTAATTGGTGATGATGAACCACTGTGCACAGGTGTTTCTAGAACAAAGTTAAAGTACATTTGAAATAATGCAAACCTCCTTATGCAGTTTGAGAACAAATGTACACTTTCTACAATACCTCATTGAGCTCATTGTTTCGCCTCCCTTCAAGTCCAGAAAACACGGAACTACCCTCTTTGCTTGGAGTTAATGTAATTGGTGATGATGAACCACTGTGCACAGGTGTTTCTAGAACAAAGTTAAAGTACATTTGAAATAATGCAAACCTCCTTATGCAGTTAGGACACAAATTCAAGCATACCTTGCTT